TATGATAAATTTGTATTTTACATTTACAGGTAACGCATCGTTATTATTGCAAACCGAGGAATGCAGTACCGGCAGACATCCGTTATTAGCGAACAATCTTCAAGATGGCGGAGCCGACAGCGACACGAATAGTCACTGTGCATTAATTTTGGAAGAGACCACGCCAACCTCGGCCAATCACAATTGCGGTAATACACGGGAAAAAAGCAACGGCAATAATAATTACGAGATGAGAGAATTCAATAGAAGATTATTATTATCAAACGGTGGTAGTCCTGGTACGCAAGGTGTAACCGCAGGTGGACAAAGCAGGCGTACCTGACTATGGAAGTGGTGGCGTAACACCTGGAATCATCTTCTTTACAGGAGCAACCGGCCCGCCGAAGTACCAGTATATAAATAAGCCTACGTAAATATAATACACATATACATACATACATACATATACACACACAGAGACACAAACATTACCTCTATACATAATATACATAATATACATATATAAATACTATATCGAGTTATGATAGGGGTTCCTAATTTTTCGTTGTTGTTTTCTTTATTTATTTATTAAAAAAAAAAAACAAGAGAAAAACCCGGTAGTTTCTTACACGAAGAGAAATTCGAGGAAAAAGGAAATGGATAAAAAAGATATCAATTAACGAACGGTCAGTGTAATAATAAGAGAAAAAATACTTATAAACATTTTAATAAGTAAAATCGAACGAAAATTCTAAATAATTTTCTCTTATTATATCAGTGATATATATGTATATTGAGATGGTATATCTTTTTTTTTTTTTTGGCTATTTTTTTCTTTTCTTTTTTTATTTGCTACAATGAAAGAATGGAAAAAAAAATACGAGTGGAAGGTTTTTCTCAAAGATGAGGGGGGAAAAGAAAAAGAAAAAAAAACCAAAAAATTAATCATAGGAATATAAATATAATATATACGTATGTAATACGCGATCGTTAATCGTTCCCCTCTTCTCCCCCTTACCCTTACCCACCGACCTTGTAATATTATTTTTATCCTCTCGCGTCTCGAGAAAAGGACTCGCTCTTTTATTTTTTATTTTATTTTATTTTATTTTATTTTATTTATGCCTTTATATAACCCATGATGGTTGTTCATTCCACGAGTTGGTTGCATTGATCTGGACGGCGGTTACTTTTAATGTGTTTTACGTGGAAAATCTGTACCATAAATATATAGGTGTATATATATATATATATATTATATATACATTACCAACATATGTATAGAAATATATATATATATGTTAAATAATACAATGACACACACGTTCGCGATCGTTTCTCTTATTCCATAACACCATAAAGAGAAGTAAGCTCCTCCCCACCCCTATATGCGTGTTCTATCAGTGTATGTATGTGTGTATGTATGTATATACGTCGAAAACATATAGAAAACACATATATACAACTAATTCAAATACGCATACCTACGCAACAATAAAAACGTACAACAAACATTTATGCACACTATTCGTCAACGATATAAAATACAATACGTCGATAATTATAAATCATTAAACGCTATATCTGGATTAGTGATTATGTACGTGTACGTGTATATATATATACGTATACAATTATATATATATATGTGTTCTCATAATTATGAAAGTGGTTTAATTGTGAATTATATATCTCTTGTTTCAAAATATATTTCAAGGATTTTACATATTTAAACACTAAATGAATTCTATATAATAATATAATAACAAACATTATTTAACGGTTTATTTTTGACAATATATCGTATGAAAATTATATTGAATTAATTTAATTTAAAATAATGTGGTGTATATAAAATAACTGATAGATTCATTCTTTTTTTTTTTAATTTTGACTTACATTAGACCACTTTCATAATTATGGGTACATATATATATATATATATATACGACGTATTTGAAATGATATACATTTTCATTTTGTAATTAGACGCGTGTCAATTTCGCGAACGGGAGCAGCCAATAATA